TACATCCCATTAGCCCCACTTAGGAGCGAATTAAGGAAGTGGTTACACCCCTTAATCCCCTATAAATAACTAAGAAATCAACTTAGTTCTGGGCTAGATCTTTCGGGTTCGGTCGGTTGGAACTTCTTGGCTCGTCAACAGGATCCTTAGAGCATTTTTGGAGCTTTGGAGATCGGCAACAAGATCTTCTTCATCCTTGGCTTATAACCGACTTTCGGTTAAATCAACTCTTTCATAGAGTTTAAACTCGTTCAGAGTTCTCCACAACGCCAAATCGTGAGGAGAAGACTATGTTCCAGTGAAACAAGACGTCGGATCGTCAACGAGAAGCAAACTCGACGCGAGCATTCGAGGGAGGCATCTCATCGCCACCGTGAAGAACCCAGAATTAAACAAAGGAGAGAATCCAGATCATTCTCTTCTCTTTTGTAATCGGAAATCCAATTGTAACTGAGATTAAAGGAATACAAATTAATTTTTCTTCATTGTCTTTTTACTGCAAATTTTCCACAAACATGGTGTGGATCTAATTATCCAGTATCGAGCAATACCCTCCTGATCACAGAACTTCTTGAAAGCACCATCTGTATACTTATACCGTTATCAGATCTACGTGTCTTCAATTTCCGGCATGTTCTGTTCTCAACCATTACTTTCCGCTTCGTAAATGTCTCGAATATCTCATTCTTATGCTTAGAAAATAAATCCAAGCATACCTAGAATTATCATCTATGAACGAGACAAAATATCTGGAACCGCCATTGGAAATTGTCGGAGCCGGACCCAAACATCTGTATGCACATAGTCTAATATACCTCTGCTATTGTGCTTGCTTTTCAAGAATAGGACCATGTGCGCCTTTCTGTACACACAATCCTCGTAAAAATTCATGCAAGGTTTCTTCATGTTCTTCAGCAATCCTTCCTTACCAAGCATATCTAGACCCTTCTCTGACATGTGCCTAAGCCGCCTATGCCATAATCGAGTGTGCTCGCATGAGTCTCTACCACTTCCTTCGGTTCGAACCGCTACATCTCTCATCAATGTCGTACCCGAAAGAGTATATAGGTTATTATGACGAATGCCCTTCATCACTACTAGGGAACCTCGAACAACCTTCTTTACTCTGTTTTCTATCACTATCTTTTAACTACCAGATTCCAAAGCACCAACTGAGATAAGATTCTTTCAGAAGTGAGGAACATGCCTCACATCTGTCAGGGTTCTGACCACTCCATCATGCATCTTGATTTTGATATCACCAAACCCCACCGTTTTATAAGCATTGTTATTCCCCATTAATACGTTTCTACCATCAATGCTTCTATAGGTAGTAAACCACTTCCTATTTGGGCACATATGGTAAGAACAACCCGATTCAAAAATCCACTAATCGGAGATATCTTCGTCACCCGTAACTATGTAACATTTTTTTCGCTCCCTTCCTCCGAGACATAACTCGCCTCTTCCTTGCCTTTTCTTCTCTTGGTTTTATTGTTGTTCTTTTTCCCACCTACTCTCTTGTTAGGACAGTCAACCTTGAAATGTCCTAGCTCACCGCATTTGAAATACGATCTTCTTGCAAGAGGTCTCAATTTCGATCTAAACTTTCCTCCCTTGCATTTTTCATTCTCATTGCCCCCTTCCTCTTACAAACAATCCTTGTGCTTGCTCATTGTTACCACTAGTAGCCATGTCACTAGTTACAATTTTCTAAAAATCATCTGCTAGAAGCATCGTTGTACTCTCATCCATCTTTAAATTGTCACCTACAAGCATCAATATTTGTACCAGGTTCTCATAAGACTTCGATAAAGAAAGAAGTAGCAGAAGTGCTTGATCCTCATCTTTTACTATCACATCAATATTCTTCAAATCCGATATGATCATATCAAACTTGTTGATGTATTCCTGGATTGAAGAGCCTTTCTCCATTTTGCAAGTATACAATTTGGATTTTAAGTAGATTCAATTTGTTAGACTCTTCGTCATGAAGGTACTCTCTAACTTTGACCACACGCCAACAGCCGTTTCATCTTCATCCACCAAGAAAGCAACATCCCTCTTAATGCATAGGATAATCGATGCTCGTGCTTCGAGATCTAACTCTTCCCAATCCTCATCAGACATATATTTGTGCTTCTTTTCTCTTCCAGCCAAAGTCTTGTACATTTTTTGCGAAATCAACGAGCTTTTCATTTGCATCCTCCAATAGGAAAAATCATTCTTTCCATTGAACTTTTTAATCTCATACTTTCCCACTTTGACTGTTTTACTTGTAGACACCATTCTCCGCTTGTTTTAGTAAATCGTTTCTCTTAAGAATTTCAACAAATATCTTGTGTACACCACACAATAACCAAGCACCACCTCAAATTGGAAGTTCTACCACCACCAATCTGACCAATGGGCTCTGATACCTATTGTTGGAGGCTGACACGCTCACCTCGCCACGGAAGAGAATCACCTTGAGAGAAAGCACTGGCTTTTGTTTTCACAAAAAACTCAAGCCAATCTCTATGTTCCTGTTTCGCGATGGAAAACAAGAACATAAGTGAAATATCTTAGCAATGTGAGATATACACTCTTCCCAATATCAAATTCAAGTCTGAATATCGAGGAAAACAACAAGCAATAGCCAACACACAAAAAACAAGTGAGACACGAGATTTACGTGTTTCGAAAAACTTGCCTACATCCACGGGAGGGGGTGAAGGGAGGTTCCACTTGAAGGAGAAAACCGACGACCTGCACAACCAGCAAGCTCGTCCCAAAGATGAAGAGGCTTCGATTTTACCCAAGAAAGATGACTTCTTTCTTGTACAATCGCTCCAAGTTCTCTCTCTTTTCTCTCTCAAGATCTCACCTTTTTCAGATTTAAAAAACTCTCTGCAGCCGCCTAAAACCTCTGCAAACCCCTCTAAAAAACCTATGAACGAGTTCCTATTTATACCCAAAGAATTAGACCTGAAAACAGGCCCAAAAACCGCATCTGGAAAAATTTCGTCGGCTGTCTCAAATTCCGACCGTGACACGTTTTTTTGTCTCGCGTTGATGGGTGCCAAGACACCCTTTGTGTCTCAGGTGTGCCCCGAGGCACACTGGTGGGACGTTTTGTGTCTCACTCCACACTTGAACATGTGGCCCCCGTGAGACACAAAACGCGTCACACTCCTCACGTTCACACATTTATAACCACCATTTCATTAGTACTTACATCAATAACAACAAAAAATATTTTTATTCCCAGTATAAAGACTAAATTTCCCTCTTAAATGAGGGGAAAAAATAACCCCGTCTAAATGGGGAGGCGCAAGTGTTAATAAATTGATTTAGAAGCTGCGCTCATAATACAGAGGGGCATCTGCAATTAACCTTTAGTCACATTCTTAAATTTTCTAATTCTACCAGACAAGCATGTTAAAAAATTCTTTATAAGGTCAATCATACTGCAAGGAATCTTTGTCATCATCAATCAGGTATTCATCCAGTAATTGAATACTGAGCATAAACAACTCAAAAGTGTTGAAGTGGATTCCTGCTCCAAATAAAAATTGTCTGTAAAAGTATCCACTGCAAAGAAAAAAAAAGGTCGGAATAAAAAAATACATGACACATAAAACATCTGAAAATGCTACAATTCTTTTTGGTATCATATCTTATTTCATGATACTATGAAGTCTGCATGACGTTTTCACAAATCATGGTCTTGACTAAAGAATTAATTTCATAATCCAGATTTGTTGTTAGTTTGACCAATGTTACAATAAGACATTTGAAGTAAGATAAGAACTAAACAAGTATCTTATCAATTTGATACTCCAAATTCAAACTGCTCAGGTACCCAACATCAGAGTCCCAACTCTCTGCTCATGAAATATTTAAGGTTGCTATTTTTCCTCCAGAATTTTTTTTAAGGTTATCATGCCTATTTTACTTATTTGTTCACATGGTGCTCAGAGGCTCTGTAGTTGGTCACTTCATTGTAGAAATCTGAATTCTCAACGATATTTTATCATAGTTTGTTTGATTAACATGGATTCTTTGTGTAAGGTAATTTCAATCTGTAATATTGATGTATGAACAATATTTTACAAGATAATATAAGCCATGACTCCTCTAAACTACTTCCCAAGCTAAAATTTTCCCAATTGATTTTTTGTTTCTCATACATTTTCCTTCAAATGTCCATTATTTACTTGATTATTCCCTGGACTATATAAGGCTTTGGTTATTTTGCCCTATGCCAAGAAAAGCCTAATACCTACATGCACGAATTTGGCTTTTTTCAAAGATACATGGACTTCATATAAAGCAATATCTTACCATATGAACTGCATCTTAGTTCTAACTTACAAGCAGTATTTTCCATCATGTATCTCAGATATCCTAAGGCTTCTCCAATCCTACTACCTACCCTTCTAATATAATACTGAATCAGCTGCAACTTTCAGTTAAAAAAAAACCCCATAGAACTTACACACTGCGTGGTTCAGAGGAGAATGCAAATTTCACAATCAAATTTCAAGATATTCCAGAAATAGCTAGTCTATTTGCTCATAACAGAAAAAATAATAGGTAAGTGAATGAATTCATTTCATCGAGTCTGATAGTGAACGTCATATGTTAAAAGTAGTTAGAAAATAGACAGGAAAAGTACGACATAAACAAACAATAACATACTTCCACAGATAGCAATATATCAATCATTAATTGTAATCATGAAAGAAAGAAAAAAGGTGATGCCTCCCAACATTCTGGAAAAAACGTTGATCACTAACGCAAATGGAGGTAAAACAGTCATATATAAGGGTTTACTTATTCTTTATTTTTGATTCAGTATTGTCAGATTCTCAAGTTCCATGCATATCTAGATATATTACAAACACTTCTGATGGTACTTTATTGTGCAATGTAACCAAAATAAGGAATGGTGATTTATATATGATAAGTTGATAACACTTCTGCTGATTGTGAAGCACCTGCACCTAATTAACAAGTGAAAGTCTCAACCATAGTAGTATATTTTTCTCTGTTAATTAAAGAGATGTACTGAATATTAACCATGATACAGATATTTCATTATTGATTCTGATATCTATAGAACAGTACTATCTTCTTCTTATCATCCTTCCTCGCGTTTTCTTGCTTTCTATCACCAAACTTAAAATCATGTTACTTGTTTATATACCCATTAAAATGCTTCAAAGCAAGATACTTTTATTAACAATTGGAGGGAGGAAAGATATGCATGGCCAATTATGCCCGTTGGCATGGGAATTCACACACAAATTTCTCAGAAAAAATCACATCAGATTATGAGCAATAGTAAGAAGAACTGGGCATCAATGGAGATTTGGTGGTGTTGAATAACCTAAGTGTGGAATCTCCCAGATTGTACGGGATGCAACTTCTTCATGCCCTGGTGCATATTGCTGCGTATACAATGGAAAGACAGGGATCATTGATCATATAAAAGAACTCAGTCATGTCCATGACAATATAGTATCATTTATGAATAAACTGATTAACTATTAGTATGAAGGTTTTATGATATTGGTCACCCAAATCATCATCACTATTTGGAAATAGCCCGAATATTGATTTTTGGAATAAGTCTCCCAAACCCTTTTAAGTTGCACCAAATAGCTCACTCTAGTTAAAATGTGGTTGAATTGAGGAACCTATATCTTTAAAATCTTAGTATGAACCCAACAAAATGCTTTGATAGAAAATGTGAACTTGAAATATAACGAGAGTTACCTCCATTTTGATTATCAGTTCTTTAGCATTTGGAGCAGAAATTACTATTTGCCTGGCACCTGACTTAATGAAACCTTCATCCACACCATTATCAAATAATGCAAGCAAAGAGTTGTAGTAACCATCAACATTTAAGAGTCCCACCTGAGAAAAATACAAATTAGAATGTAATTTATCTTCTATGGACAAAGCTATCTGTTTATTGCATTTTTTTTCTTGAGAGAAAAACTCAACTGGTTTATTATGAATTCCAAGTTGAGACCATGTTATCATCTCCAACAGCTCTTCCATTGTTCCATATCCTCCTAGAATATTCAAACCAAAAAATGGAAAAAATAATAACTTGAAGCCTCAGGAGTCTCAATAGAGTGGATGTGTTTGTGCATCAATACAGAACTTGGTTCCTTTGCACAAAGATTTAATAGATTTACCAGGAAGTGCAATAAAAGCATCTGATTGTCGAGCCATTTCAGCTTTGCGTTCATGCATGTCAGCTACTACTTTTACCTCACCCATGGTTTGCCCAGATATCTGTGGTGAAAAATACAGACATAAAAGTATAAGTACGAGCATCAAGCAACCTGAGGGCAATTTAGTGAAATTCATTGCGTATATAATTCAAATGTTAGTATCTTCAGACTCCCTCAAATAAAAATTAAAGGGGAAAAATCTCCAAGGATAGACATTTACAGAACTGATTAAGCGAGGGATAACTTCAGATTTCAATTTATTACACTTTATTATGCCAATAGAAATTTCAATTTATTACATCTTACACTTTATTATGCCAATAGAAATTTGAATTTCTTCCTTTTGAAATTCTCCAGCAAGACGAAGGGAATCAGTGAGTCACTACCAAATAAACAAGCAATAGAAGATAATTTCACAGCGGCAAAAGCAGAGTCATCAGGTTTCATAGTAATATAATATAGCACGATAGATAATTAATTTGAGTTCCACTCAACAGTAGAACAGAACTAATAACCAAAAGAAAAGCACTTTGAATTCCTTTTCTCAATAGTTAAAACGACTCTCATTTTATTTCAGGTAAACCAATTACAATAATGATTCTGATATGTCTATTATCATTTGACTCTTCATAATAAACACTTCATATCATCCTTATTAATATCAAGATAACTTATTATAAAAAAAAAAACAACAAATAACATCAAGCAATCATTTCTGAATTAATGAAAATTAACCAAAAAGATCCAAACAAGAAACTACACAATCAGCATCACTACCAAACAATCCAAAAAAGGAAAGAAATAAAACGAAGAAAAGGCCTTGGAATCCAATACCTCAAGAGGCATCAATGCTGTAGGAATAACCCTGCATGATCATCAATATAAATCCCAGCTCAGCATGAATATTTCAACTCAAATAAGACATGAAACTCTATCAAAATCAAATCAATAAGGAAAAAATTTCATGCCCAAGAACACCACAGCCTCCATCATAAACTGTCTGAGAAATCAAACCCATCAGCCCCACACTCCCCCCACCATAAACCAAATCTATTCTCCTCTTCACCTGCAAAAGGAAACCCATCAAGACAAATCCTCAGAACTCAATTCAAATCTCTCCAAACTCAAACTTTGAAGATTACTCAACACTCAAAATCATATTTTTACGATACCCACACGAAGAAGGGTAAAGTGCAAATAACCCTCTCCATCTTTCTACTAAAATAGTTGAGGGGTGATTGCTACTACCGAAGATATAGAGAAACAAGATACCAGTTCATTGCCCAGATCAAGAGCAGCATCACTGAATACAGTCCTGTTGCCAGAGTTGCTTCCACAAAAGACACATATTTTTCTGAACTTTTCCTGCAGCTCTCCATCCATTATTACACTGTTTCTCTCCTCTTCTGTTGCTTTCAAGATGAAAAGGGAAGCATTAGCATGAGCATTACTTGTTGGTTCTGCTCTCATATTATTCTTTGATTTGTTTACTGGAGAGAGAAGAGCAGGTGCCAGTTTAATATATTTTGACATACCCACTCTCTTGGGAAAGCAGAGCGCTAATCTCTCAAAAGGCTTGATCTTTTGTTCTCTCTTTTTAAATTATTCTTTCTGTCTCTTTCCTCCTTTTTTTTAAAGAAGAACAGAACCAAAGTCTCTAATTGGAGAAAGTTACATGGCTGTCATGTTCGAAGTTGTGAAGATAAAGGCCTTATCGGGTTGATGAACTGTAGAAATGGCAGGAACAAAAATTGGCGAGGCCCAGACAGGGTTTGGCGTCGACCGCCGGCGGTCGACCGCGTTCGTGGCACGAGCTTACTGGCGTCAAGAGGATGGCGGTCGATCCGCAGAAGTTGCTGTTTCTGTGGCGGTCGACCGGCAGAACGTCTCTGAATTTCTCGGGGGCCTGTTCCTGAGTTGTGGGCCCGGTCCGACCCCGTCACAGGCGTCGACCGCGATGGCCGCGATGGGGGCTGGGTCTGTTTTCCAGACCCGTTTCGTTTGGGTTTTCTATAAATACCCAAACTCGATTCTAGGGTTTGTAAGGCAAGGGTTTTGATCTGTTAAAAGGGGTTTTCTTTGTGCTTCCATTCTAGGAGCAATTGGAGAGATTGAGAGTTGATTTGTTGAGGGTTTATGAGAGATTTGTAACCCTAGTTTGTTCCTCTTGATTTCTAATAGTGAAAACTCCCCCTTCCTTGCCCCGTGGACGTAGGCGTCTCGCCGAACCACGTAAAATCTGGTGTTTGATTATTTGTGCTATCTTTTTGGTTGTGTGGTTTATCTTTCTCGGCTATTTGGTTGGATCTTGACATAGGGGTTTTTCCCTTACAAGTGGTATCAGAGCTCCGGGCAACGCTTGGGCTTTTTGGAGGTGTAGATCAGTTGGAAAATTCATCTAGAGCTTCGATTGGTGATAAAGGTGGGATCTTTGTGGTAAAGTTTTTATCTTTTTTAAGTTGGATCTATTTCTTGTTTATTCCGTAATTGTTTGGGTGCTTTGAGATATATGGCCAGAAAAGATAAAAATAGGAAGGGTTCTTCTAGTGTGAAGGCCGTCCAAAGTTTGAATATACATTCTATGAAAATTGATGTGGAAAAGTTCAACGACACAAATAATTTTAGACTTTGGCGATGTGAAGTCATGGATGCGCTAAATGCGCAAAATTTGGAAGATACGTTGGAGTTAGACGGGAAACCGACCGACATTGATGATAAGGTTTGGAATAAAATGAATAGAACGGCGTGTGGTATGATTAGGTCTTGCCTCACTCAAGATCTAAAGTATGATGTGATGAATGAGACTTCGGCAAAGAAGATTTAGGAGGTCCTAGAGGGTAAATATTTGACGAAGAGCGTCGAAAATCGTTTGCATTTGAAGAGGAGGCTTTATCGCTTCCAATTGAAGAAATGGACATCCATTAGTGATCACATGAACCACTACACGAAGCTACTTGCAGATTTGACGAATGTAGATGTCATTGTTGAAGATGAGGACAAAGCATTATTGTTGTTGAGTTCCTTGCCCGACGAGGAATATGAGACATTCGTCCTCACTCTTATTAATGGGAAGGTATCTCTTTCGTATAGTGAAGTCACCGCAGTCCTTGTGAACTATCAACTTCGAAAGAAGGATAAGGAGACTTCCATTGAGCCGGTTACGGGGGCATTGGTTGCAAGAGCTAGAAGTCCAAACCGTGGTAGAAGGTCGCAGTCTAAAGAGGGGCATCCTGCAATTGGTAGGAATCAGTGTGTCTTTTGTAGAAAGGATAGACATTGGAAAGCCGAATGCCCAAAATTACAAGCCGTGAAGAATAAGGGGAAAGCTATTCAAGCTTCAGAGGTGAATGTTGCTAAGGCTAGTAGTGACATTTCAGATTCAGATTCTTCGGGCTATTCAAGCTCAGCTCTTCCGTCAGTTGGTATTGCCGACTCTACCGAGTGGATGTTGGATTCGGGTGCTACTTACCATATATGCCTTAGGAGGGATTGGTTCTCCAGCTTTCAGGAGTTGGAAAGAGGAGATGTTGTACTTATGGGTAATGATCACAGATGTCCTATTGGTGGTATTGGTACCGTTCGTATTCGGACGAGTGACGGGGTGATTCGGGAGTTGGTTGATGTGAGGTTCGTTCCTCAACTGAGGAAGAACATCATTTCACTTGGGGTATTGGAGGCAGCAGGCTATAGGGTGACCTTGGCGGATTCTTGCTTGAAGGTCACATTGGGGTCCATGATTGTTATGAAGGACGTCAGGAGGAGTAACTTGTATTATCTGCTTGGGATCACGGTGGTGGATAGAGCGCTGACGACTTCTTTGGCTAGACTATGGCATTGTTTGGTGCTGGGATATATTATTGGTTATGCCGAACACAGATTGTTGAGGAGTGCTATGACCTGCAGATTGAAGTCCTGTGAGCACATTGGGATGAGCGAGGAGACCGAGGTGGGGTTCAACACTTCTACTCACCGATCAAGGGGTCTTATTGGAAGTGTTCAGTCAGGCATCGGGGGGCCTTCCGAGGAGGCATCATCGGGAGGTAATTGTTATTTCGTTTCCTATGTTGGGGATTGTACTAGGCATTTATGGGTTACAACCAAGTCCCGTTAGTCTGAAGCCCTAGTAGTCCGTGACAGCTGGAGGAGGTGTATGGGCAGAAAGGCTACCCGTCGTACTAGTTCTAGTAGGGGTTCTTTCGTGCATTGGTGCCGAACTCATGGCAGTTGGAGACACTTCAGAGGAGAGGAGACAGTGGGGCCACGTGATGAGATGGCGGATTTAGAGGGCCGTTATTTTCTGGAGGAGGATCGACATTGGTCGTCGAGGAGTGAATTTGATATTCAGGCTTCGACAGGTTTGGGCCATCTTATGAGGTTGCCGACTGCTACGTTAGATATTTTAGATCTGGTGGAGCTGCTTCAGGTTTTGGTCGGCGTCGGATATTTGGCTACCCAGCACTTGGTCACATGGTCGGCGTCGGATATTTGGCTACCCAGCACTTGGTCACATCGTTGATGTGAGATTGGATCCGATTGCGTATTTGGGATTCAGGAGTTCATTCCCCAGCACTTGGTCACATCGTTGATGTGAGATTGGATCCGATTGCGTATTTGGGATTCAGGAGTTCATTCGGCTATCAGTTAGGAGCTTCTAAGTTTGGTTTGGGCAGGTTTGTTACTTTGGACTCTTGACAGGTAGAGAGTATTGATCAGATCAGAGAGATACCACAGCGGATGGAGAGTGATGCTACTCCACATTGAGTAGAGCTTACTCCACATACTCCAGGTCATTCTGCATTATTGAGTTTTCCAACTGAGGTGGCACGGCGTGGGAGTCATTTGGATACGGATGCGGATGCGGATGACGAGTTGGTAGATTCGAGTGCAGCTGGTAGATATAGCTTGGATACGGCCATTGTTTCACCTTAGATGGAGGTGTTTGGATCGTTTCAGTTTGGGGTCGTTGATGATGCTATCAGCCGTAGTTTGGGCTGAGGGTCTTTGGAGGCCATTGGGTGAACTACGTGAAGGCTTGATTCATTGGAAAGGATACGTAGGCAGTCAGTTATGATGCAGCCGATTTGGTGAGTAGATACAGTTATTTTAGGGTGAGTATTCGCACTCCCGTTTGGGTCTTGACATGCTGTGGATGGGGTCCGTTGTCATGAGTCCGTTGCTATGGCGTACTGGATGCAACAAATGAGGCATTTGTTTGGTTGGTGTCGGCTCAGTTTGAAAGAATCTTCGCCGAGGTGGAGATTTGTAGAAATGGCAGGAACAGAAATTGACAGGCAGATAGCCGTGGCGGTCAACCGCGTTCGTGTACGAGCTTACTGGCGTCAGATTGGTGGCGGTCGGACCGCGACAGTTCGACCTGCCAGAAGTTGCTGTTCTGTGCTGTCGACCCACTGGTGACGTAATCGCACCGTAAAACTCTCTGGCCATTTCTCGGGCCTGTTCTGGAGTGTGGCGGTCGCACCGTGGCGGTCGATGCAGATGGACGCGATGATCGCCGGGTCGACCGCGATGGATCGCGGTCGACCGCCGTAGCGGTTTTGGGCTGGGTCTGTTTTCCAGACCCGTTTCGTTTGGGTTTTCTATAAATACCCAAACTCGATTCTAGGGTTTGTAAGGCAAGGGTTTTGAGCTGTTGAAAGAGGTTTTCTTTGGGCTTCTATTCTAGGAGCAATTGGAGAGATTGATAGTTGATTTGTTGAGGGTTTATGAGAGATTTGTAACCCTAGTTTGTTCCTCTTGATTTCTAATAGTGAAAACTCCCCCTTCCTTGCCCCGTGGACGTAGGCATCTCGTCGAACCATGTAAAATCTGATGTTTGATTGTTTGTGCTATCTTTTTGGTTGTGTGGTTTATCTTTCTCGGCTATTTGGTTGGATCTCGGCATAAGGGTTTCTCCCCAACATGAACTGCATTGAATTTTGAGAGCGTATTTGGCAAACCCTTAAAACCAGTCTAGGATTGAACCTACCTGGCCCAGTTTTGCATTTGATTTTCTTGGGCAAAAATTGGACCAGTTTTAACCCAGCTTTTTCTTAAGCCAGAAAAGACGGCTAAAACTGGTTCTTTCTTTATCCACCTGTCCTCTGGATAAAAAAGGACAAGTTTAGTTCAAAATTAGGCCCGTATCTATTTACAAGTAAACTTCTTTTATGAAAACCCCGCTATGGGGTAGTCTTAGCCATTGAGGGAGCACTGAAATTACCATAGTACCCCTGTTAACTCCACTTGCTTTGCTGAGAATGCCCCACATGGTGCAGGGTGTCTGATGAGATGTGTACTCCACATTGAGACCCCCAAATACAGTCTAAATCTTGATAATTCTAAATATGACAACAAACACGGTTTTTGTCATATTAACCCTCCAATCGTCTTTAATTATGTGTTAGACCCACAAATCTTGATATTGCTAAATATGATGGCCCATTGTTTGGAGTGGTTTCATAAAACCCCTCACACGTGGTTTCTATCCAAAAATTTTACCAAAGTATTGTTAATTCTTAACCATAGAGTA